AGATGGCAACACCCTATGATTCTTTCTATACCCCCACTTACTTTTATCTCCCTAGTAAATAAAAGAAAATCATCCTAAGTAATGAAACAAAGGTATTTTTTTCAGAGGAGTAGTCAAAATGAAAGTTATTCCTCTGCAGTTTTAAGGTATACTACTTTATCAATAATATATTATTATCTTAAACTTCTGTTCTTAAATATGACCATTCTGTCTAAAACATTGCAAAATGTTTCTGCAACTTGTTCATCTGACATTTGTGTTACATAACTATGTTGACACCACTTTGCACTTCAGCCCTGTGCAAGTGGCTGTTCATGGCACTGAGGGGTGCTAGAGCCATTTCATTCCTCTGCTCTTCCCAGATGAAGAAATAGAACAGGAGGATAAGAACCAAAGTAAAAAAACAAAACACTGGCATCTGTTATAAAGTTGACTTCTCCCTGGCATGTGTGGCACCACCTCTGTAAGGCAGGCTCAACTCTTCCCCCGTAAATGTCAGATGACATGATTGAAAGACACATGGTCATGTTTTTGTAACTCCCTTCTCCTCCCCTTCCACAGTCAGTCATTCCTCCAGTTCCATAGAAATAAAATTTTCTTATCATGTGAACCATCTGGCCATGGGTGTGCCAAGATATACTGAAGAGATTGTACACTCATAGGATTGAGCCTTGTATCACACTGCTTGTAAGAGGAGAAACAATTTTAGAAAACAGTATTAGCAGCATCTCCTGAGTGTATAAGAGACACAAAGCAGTGGCAACTGTAGACTGTCATTCTGCACACCAACAAGACACAAAACAGCTAGTGCAGAAATAACAGCATGAGAGTGAAGTCCCAGAGAATCTGCAGAGGTTCATAGCAAAAGCATTTAGTGCCTCTGTTTCTTTCCTGGTGCAGGGAGTGAGCTGTGATTGAGTTACAAGCTGTGCATTGTTTTTGGTCAGTAGATAGTTTGGAGTTATGTTTTGCATAAGCCTTCTCAGAAAGGCTTCCTCCAGTTTGTAATCTCAAGTAAAAGCGCTTGACGAGGACTACGGGACTACACAGTAGGTTTCTGAGACAGGAACATAAAAGGATATGGTTGCTACTGCTGCATCAGACATGGTGGAGCATGCTGTGGTATCTGTCAGAATGGGTAAGCGCTGCACTTTAGATGTGCCTAAGGTTGAAGTGTACCACTTTTCTCCCAGGGAAGACCAGAAGGAAGTTGGAGGCTGTTTGTCAGAAGGGGGAGATGAAAGAGAAAATAAAACTTTGACTGTTTATACCAGGGTGGACGATTTCAGATGATTTCTCCCACATAGGACCTGCTGCCACTGACCGTTTCCCTGCTACTGAAAGTTGGTAGCAAGCTGGACAAACCCCTTTATAAACAGCAGGAAATGTTTGTTGTACAGGGGTCGAGGGTGGAGGATTTCCCCGCAAAACGCAATGGGATGATTTGTACCTGAATTGCAGTGGAGTGATTTTGGCTTCCTGCCCCATCCAAAATAGTCCTGGAACTAATATGCAACCATATATTTCTCACTGATAGCTTACGTGAACATTTGTTTCCTCTATTCTACTGCATCTGTACAGTAATATCAGAGACGAGAGGTTCAGAAAATATTGCAGGAATTGTCTGTTAGGGTTCAGTATATTGTATGTTCATTAGATGGTTGAGCAGCTCCTCCGTTTTGGAAAAGTGGAGAAGGTTCTGTAGAGACTATATACCTCTTGCTCCTATTTTAGCTTCAGCTGATGCGTCTTTCAGATAAAGCTCTCCCACAATCCCTTTGTTGATGGAATACTAACATAGAGAGAAGCCAAGAGGGGGACTGAGAATGACTAGAGTTTCACAATTATGAAACCAGGAATAATGCCAGGAAAAAAAATCCTTGAAATTCCTGCCATCAAGACAAATTGTCCTCACAACGAGAGCCATCGTTTCAAATTAATGCTCTCATTGACCACAAGGACGCAGTCTGAGAACAATATCTAAAAGGCACTGAGCCATAAGATAGCAAAATGAGTGTATCCTAACTGAGGAAAGTTTTGTTTCTTCTAACATGCATCATAAATTCCAGGCTCTTCTTAAGCCACATGAAGAGGGAGGATGCATGGAAAATATAGGGGGAAAATATCAGCTTCCTTGTCTCAGGAAGACATGCTATCAGTAAAATCAGAGATCCTGCAAATCAGTCTCCAGATGCAACAGGGAAGAAGAAAACCTCCAACAGAGAGAATACTCGCTGACTTCCAATACAGCAGATGATGGAGAGGAGGGAAGCAAGTTTCAGGTGTTTGAATTGGCAAAATGGAGTGGAGAAGGTATAGGACAGGGGTGGGCAATTAATTTCTATAGGGGGCCACATGAAAAATCTGAACTGTGTTCGGGGGCCGAACCAACTTTTCTTAAAAATAAAATGAAACAGTCATGTTATGATTGTTTTTATTTTAAACTTGTTAATCTTCACAAATGCTAAAGAGGTTTTTTGCAGTATGTTTAAGATAAGCAACTGCTCAACTTTTAGACAAGAAGCTATAAATGGTTTTGATGTTCAAAACTGTCAGCGGGCCGGACAGGATCAACACTGGAACAGTTCATTAACCCTTTGAGAACTTTTGGTCTTGCTTCTTTTGCAACATGCTTTCATTCTGTCCTGAGAGGCCATGTGTAATCTGCTTGTTGAAGAGGTAGGAAAAAAAGGCGGCTATGCGATGAACACAGCCAACCCAGAAATAAGAGCAATGCGAAACCATTCCAAAAATCCTGGGACATTGGGCAGCAATTGTAAGCACACTATACAGGAATGCAGTTTAGACAGAAATAACCTGACTCCAAGTTAGGAAAGTGTTGAGTGAGGGCAGATCACAGACTTACAAAAGAAGAAAGAATGTATTAGAAACACTGGACAATCCTGAGCAACCTTTATTTTCTTATTCCACTTTATTATGGTTTGGAATTAAGCATTTCCAAGTTTATTCCTATACATAAAAGGGATAAACAAAAATGAAACAAAACTTACTTGCTGGATCGTGGAACTATCATATCGGTCAAGGTTTCATACTGCTTCATCCAATCATTATAATTTGACCTAAAAGAGAAAGAAAGGTTGCAGTTTACTATCTTCACAAACATGTGGAGGAGGTGATCGCCCTCCCCCCGTTGACAATATTTTCTTGAGGACACACCAGTCACAGTCCAGAGCTCCCTCACTTCTATGTCCAAAGCATTTCCATATTTGAGCAGAAAGGAGGCTTGTTTACCTTTATAGCTACTGAACTTAACACTGCAACAGGCATTGTTGTAGCAGGCTTCTGCTCTTTCAGACTGACTCTGGGCATCCAAAATGGGCTAAAAACTGAGAATGTCTGATAAGCCTCTGTGGGCACAGAGAATATTGCATGTAGCACAGAGACATAGTTCCTGAATAGGGCTTAAATGAGTGGAAATGATACAACCTTGTCTTTTGAAAATGAAGTAACACAGCCCTTCCTTTCTGACAAATCAGGAAACCCAAGATTGCTAAGACAATCAAGTTAGGAAATCCATTAAATAAAAAGCAAATTTGACTTGTTAAGGACATTTATTTTTAACACACACATATGGCATTTTAATTCCTTTCACTTTTTCAGTGTAAAAAAAGGAGTTACATTTAATCCAGAGATTTCACATCAATATACAAAATGAAAAGGAACTTGTACAGTTAAAAAGCAACATACAGAAACAACTTACAGTAGTGCCTCGCTTTACGATTGCCCCGCATTACGACAAAACCATATTACGATGTTTTGCGATCATAATTGTGATCACAAAACGATGATCTGAATAGGGGTTTTTCGCTTTGCGATGATCTGTTCTCTGCTTCAGGAACTGATTCTTCGCAAAATGACGATTTTTGGACAGCTGATCGGCGGTTCCAAAATGGCCACCGGGTAAATAAAATGGCTCCCTGCTGTTTTCTGGGACGGATTCCTCGCTGCACCGGCACCAAAAATGGCCGCCCTATGGAGGATCTTCGCTGGACAGTGAGCTTCCAGCCCATTGGAATGCATTGAAGGGGTTTCAATGGGCTTTTTATTTTCGCATTACGACGTTTTCGTTCTACAGCGATTTCGCTGGAACGAATTAATGTCGTAATGCGAGGCACCACTGTATTTGTTTCAATTTTCACAAATACAACTTCATTCATTTTTGTCATCTTACAAGTCTGTTACATTTCAGCATCTTTATTTGTAAGATTGAAAAGAGAAATCTTACACAGATGAACTCTTTTCATCAGATAACATTTTCAAGTGCCTGACCACTATGCCTTTTAGCACAGATGACTCCAAATAAAAGCAAGCCTTTTAGAATTGTCACACTGATGTGAAAGAATCATTATATGTTCAGTCAATGTGCTCATGATTTGTGAGTCAAATGAAAAGTCAGAAAACAGTTTTACAGAATAATACTTATACAGTTGGCTAAAATCCTATTGCTTTGTTACATGTGCAGAATGCAAACAGTATACAATTCAGTCACTTCTAGCTGTCGGTTAATGAGTTGCTGTTGAGATTCTTGTGATCTCATTCTTGAGAATCCCAGTGGGAATTTATTACCTGCCAGCTAGTTAAACTGTTTGCCTTCTGTGTGCATAATAAAGCAATGGGATGTCAGTCATTATTGATTAGTAAGTTTCACTTAATTCAATAGGCTTACTTCTAAAGAAACAGAGATATACAACTGAAGACTTAATTGGGCTACTTAGGTTCTTGGTTACAACTTCCAGATTATATTTAATCTGGACTTGTATTGAAGTTGTTCCTAGTGGATGGTATCAGTTGTGCTTTTACTGTATACTGTTCTCATGGTTTAGGAAATATCCTAGTGGATGGTATCAGTTGTGCTTTTATACTGCTCTCATGGTTTAGGAAATGTCACTTGCTTTTCAAGGAGTAAATCTTTTGTATCAAACTCAAAATGCCCATCCTTCCTTGCATTTCTAAAGCAACTGCTCTTTTCAAGGAGTAAATCTTTTGTATCAAAGTTCAAACTCAAAATGCCCATCCTTCTTGCATTTCTAAAGCAACAGTCTTATGCAAATCTACTTTAAATTACGTTTACTGAATTCAATGATGCCTACCCCCAAACAAACATTCAAAGGTCTGCAGTTCAAATCTAATGTGCGAACTTAAATATTTCCGTAAAACATTTTACTGCCTGAATGTGCATGTAGCAGCTAGAGTAAACCAGCAATAATAAGAATAACACACTGCCAAGTGAATTTTGACTTATTGCAAACCTTCTTAGCCTTTTCTACCTTTAGAGTACTCAGAAGTGGTTAACCTTCCCTTCTTCTGGAGACAAAGAAAATAAACTTTGCATTAGCACAAAAAAGGTAAACTGAGTCCCAAACAGTAAAGTGTTGACTGACTTTAGCAAATTCAATTTACAAGTTAATGCTTATTATATGTAGATAAATTGCAAACTGGGCAGATTTCTTTTAAAGAGCTTCATTTTAAGTGGGCAGATACTGCTATGCTAGTAAAAGTGTTTCCATCTGCATGGGAAGCACTGAACGAGTTGCTCAAAAGTGTGCTGATGACACTGAGATGTTGAAAAGACAAACTCAGAAATCTGAGAAATACTTGCAATCTTCCATTGATGACTGTAACAATTCCATTACTGCTTATGGCCATTTCAACAACACCAAAAAACAATGCTGGTAAATCTCTCTCTTTCTTATTAGATTCTCTTTGCTTCTACTAATATTTCCATGAGCCTTCTTGGACATTGAGAGTGACTTACTTTGGTACAACCACTAACAAAGTAACCAAGTATTCGGAATCAAGTACAAAGTCATCTTTCTTCACAATTTCAGCCAGACTTCTTGTTAGTAGACTCCCCCTATGAGAGAACGAGAAGACATAAAAGTGAGCATGTAATTCTAGTCTTCAGTTTTGTTTTCATAACATTACTTTCAAGAGGAAATGTCTACCATAATGTCCTGAAGTAACTGATATATATAAAAGGCAAACTTTTATAGCTGTGTTTTACTTGGGAAAGATAATACTAATAGAAAGATGGTTTATACAAAATCTTCTGCACTACTCAGATATTCAATTGATTTACATAAGTTCATAATACACCACAAATTAATTATTTTCTTTTCTTTTATTTATTTATGTATTTTATTTATGTAATGTATTTATTTATTTATTTATACCCCGCCTATCTGATCATTGTAACCACTCTAATTACACTTCTCCCTTCTACAACGCAAGGGTTGGGGCTTATGGAGCGAAAAATACGGTAATTCTTATTCAGTCTCCATGTATAATTCTTATGCCAGCAACATCTGTCATCTTAAATGTTTTGAATGTTTTATGTTAATGCATTTTTATACTCTGATGATATTATTTACTGCATTTTATTATTTTTATTCTTTGTTCTCTTGACTGTACTTTAGTCATGTGGTTCTACATGTTGTTAAACCAGACAGAGTGGCCTTGGCCAGTTGGGTGGTATAAAAATGAAATAAACTAACACATACATAAATACAAAGCATAAACATCTGATTCAGAGAATGAGAGAGAACAGTTCTCTCTATCGGGGTTCTCTTCCACAGTGTTGACAATCCTTTCCATACAATACCATGTGTAATGAGCTTTAAAGGTCTTTATGACCCCCTGATCTAGAGGCTGAATTAGAGATGTTGAGCTCATGCCTCTGGCTCTGGATGGCCAGGGGCACAGTATTTATTGAATAGTTATTTACTGAAAAAAAATTTAATCCATGTATAACCACAACTGTGCTGCTCAGACTTGTGCAACTCAAGGGAGAAGTGTGGTGTACGACCGTCCCATATGAATTTGACAAGCTGCTATTTACACACTTTTACCTCCACTCTTTTAACATTTTCAAGAGACTGTTGCATAGCTTTAGACATGAGATACACACACATATATATATATGGCTTTGTAATAAAAAGGGGCATTTGAAGCATGTTGTGGGTAGCCAGCTAACCTTAGACAATATTGGTTTGGAGGTTGTCTTTAACTCTCAAAGAACACACAGGACAGTTTATTCCCCTGAGTCACATTTCATTGCAAAATCCAAATGGGAACTAGACTTACAATGCAGGATTTCTATAGTAATGCTTCCTGAAGAATAAAAACAATGTTCTCAAGTATCAGCAGTTTGCCATGTGGTTTTGTGTTTTGGGGGGTTTTTCACAGACAAAAAATATTCTGCACAAAAAAGTCTTCCCTAACAAGTCTGCTGTTTTTACTGGAGCCAACATATTGACAGTCAGAACCATTTTAGCTGTCATGTACTAGGATAAATTAAAATGATAACAACAACATGCATTGAGTGAGTTATTTTCCAACCCCATTAGAGTTCCAATGTACTGAGGTTTAGCTAATACAGCACACATTTGTGCCATAAAATGTAACATACCTGAACAAAAAAAATCCATGCTGCTTTTTGGTGTATTCTAACAACTTCATTTGGGGACGTAGCTCTCTGGGAGATCAAGAAATTCATGATATATTCGAACCCCAAGTCCTAACTTTGCTGCTAAACCTCAATGTGCTGAAATTCTAACAGGGTCAGAAGATAACTCACTCAATGCACATCACTGCTGTTATTTTAATTTATCCTAATGTATGACAATTAATAACAATAAGGACTCAAATAAACATCAGAGACAGCCTTGTGGTCCTTTACACAATTGAAAAGTAGAAGAGATTGATTCAAATGTCCACCAAATAATCCATTCTTTTAAAAACTTACATGTTATCCAGGTTATGGATATTATAATCTAGCAGATGATCCCATCTTGGTGATATGGGAACAGATTCTAATTTTTCCAGATAAACTTGCATGATACCCATATTATAATCTAGTTACAATTCAATAATGTTATTTGGAGAACTAAAAGGTGTGGTATGGTAATGGATACATAACTTGCATGACATAGCTGGCTATCATTTTATTTCCCTGGACTAAGTAAGACCTGAATTATTATTTCTTTGCTTTCTGCACTTAACATTCACTTCCCCCCCTTAATGTTTTAACTACAAACTAACTGCCTTTTAATGAATTGGAACAGATTAACAAATTGGAATGTGTCCAGGTACAGACAACGAAGATGGTTGAGGGCCTTGGAGATATTACTGTTGAGGAAAGGTTAAAGGAACCATGTATGCTCAGCTTGAAAAGGAGATGTTTAATACACAATAACAGTAGCCATCTTTAAATATCTGAACACAGCTGTCGGGCAGACAGAACAAATTTTATTTCTGTTGCTCCAGAGGTCAGACTAAATTCTATTTAAAGAATAACAATTTAGACCAATGTTATAGAAAGCTACTTGATGGTGGCCCGATGCATCTGAGATGGACATCGACCAGTGGCCTGGGGTTGGTGAGGATGACTTTTGAGATGACTTTCCCATTCTATGAAATGAATACTTGTGTCCCATTCTAAAAAGTAACTAATGGAAACATTTAAAGAGATGCTGCTTTAGCACCTGATTGGTAGAATGCTGTGTTTACATCTAGGATGGCATCATGTGCCCTCCAAGGGTACACATACTTTCCCCCAACACCACTACCCCTGCAATATAACCACATCCCCAAAATTGTGGTCCCCCCCAAAAAAAAATTTGCTTCAAAATATTCCCTGGTGTTCTCCAGGAGGTATGTATGTATGGGTGGCAATTATGTTATGCTTTGAGGGCCATGGAAAAGTTATTATTTGGTATTACCTCCCCCCCAGTAGTAAACTGCGCTTAAAATTCAATGTAGTGTAATCTGAATTGCAAAGGTATTATTTCAGAAATCAGAGGTCATATTTAAAAAGTTCAGATTGATCGGTCAGTTTCTAGATTGCCTTTAAAAAAGATACCATTACAACTCACGCATTCTTTCTTTCCAAGTTCTGAAGGTTGCCTTTCAGACTGTTGTATGCAGAAGCTCTTGCCTTGAGATCATTGTCAATCTGAGTCACTCCCTTGAAAAAAATTAATAAGGACAGTATTAAGTGTTCAGAAATGTTTTCAGACCAAAATACAGTGGTGCCTCACACAACGATGTTAATTGGTTCCAAAAAAATCAACGTTGTGTGAAACATCGTTCTGTGAAACACCATTTCTCATAGGAATGCACTGAAAACCGGTTAATCCGTTCCAATTGGAACTGATTGCCATCGTTCAGTGAAAATCCCCATAGGAAACATCGTTGAGTGAAACAATGTTTCCTATACAGTGGGGTCTCGACTTACGAACGACCCGACTTGCGAACAATTCGAGTTACGAACCTGCCCTATAGGGACAGTAAGGACTCGACATGCGAACTTCCCTCGAGTTACGAACAGGGAAAAAAGTCCCCCTTCCCTCCCCTTAGAGGCTTCTGGAGGGGGGGAAAGGGTCAGAAACTTAAAAATAAATACTGTACTGTTAAATAAAGTCACTTACCAGGCCTTGGTAGCCCCCAAACCACAGGAAAAAGAGCAGGAAAGAGCTAAAAGCCGACACCCAGAAAGAGCCTGGCAGCCATTTTGTGGTTTTCCCCGCTCCTCTCCCCGCCTAACAGCTGATCGGCTGGCTCTGAGCAGGCTTCCGGAGGCTTGCTCAGCACCTAAAAAGCCTGCCTGAGTGCCTTTGTGCTGAAAAAATCAGCACAACATGCTTTAAAACATTATTTAAAATTGGCTTCAATAAAAAAAAAAAAGAGTTCTAAAGTGCTGCCTTTAGTGTTCCCTGCCTTCCCTGAACCTAAGGGGAAAAAAAGAAAGAAAATATCCCCCTCTAGTGGCAGAAGGCAGAATAGCAGCTTCCCATTAGTTTCTTTGTACAGTGGTGCCTCACACAACGATGTTAATTGGTTCCAAAAAAATCAACGTTGTGTGAAACATCGTTGTGTGAAACACCATTTCTCATAGGAATGCATTGAAAACCGGTTAATCCGTTCCAATTGGAACGGATTGCCATCGTTCAGTGAAAATCCCCATAGGAAACATCGTTGAGTGAAACAATGTTTCCTATATTGGAATGTATTGAAGCCGACTCAATACATTTCAATGCCTTTGCGAAGTCCTTTTTCGCTCCTGTAAAAGTGTCTTACAATGTTTGGACGCTGTTTTAAATGATTGCAATGGTTAGTCCACCTCCTGAAACCTATGCAAACTGATTTTGGTGTTGTTCTGACACTTCGTTAATTTATGATGATTTTTTGTTTTTTCCATTGGAAACCATTAGACAGACCATCCAATGGTTTCCTATGGAGAAAAAACAAAAAATCATCATAAATTAACGAAGTGTCAGAACAACACCAAAATCAGTTTGCATAGGTTTCAGGAGGTGGACTAACCATTGCAATCATTTAAAACAGCTTCCAAACACTGTAAGACACTTTTACAGGAGCGAAAAGGGAGGTCGGGAAAGGGCTCTTTGATCTCCGTTTGCCTTTTTTTGTTTTTTCCTCGTTGTGTGAAAATCCCCCATAGGAAACATCGCTGTGTGAGGCAGCAAATTTAACAGAAAAGGGCATCGTTGTGTGAATTCATCGTTGTGCGAGGCACTCGTTGTGCGAGGCACCACTGTACTTGATCTAAAACAAAAACTACAGGTAGCAATAAAAATAACCACTCCTCAGGTTCAGTCCTATAGATCAGTTGATGGCAGATGGCCTTGACAAGGAAAGAAGGGAAGTCCTTCTGGAAAGAGAAGTCTGTGGTGATTTTTACTTTCCACCTGACTAGTGTGTCTAGTGTGATCCTTCCTAGAGGACAGTTCACGTTAATGACACAACTGCAGCAGAAACAATCAAATGTAGGACTTAAGAAACATTACTTTTATAGATGACAGTTCTCAGAAACAACCAGACAGCAAGGCCAGTTGGAACAGGTAAAAATCACCATGATCCATCCTACTATTCCAGACAGTAAGACAAGTGTCCCAAGTATCAGATGCTGGGAAGTTTGGCAGCAAGGCGCTAGAAGGACTCTGGGCTGTGCAGCCAGTCCTAAGGCCCCCATGCAATCCTACTGCCATCAGGGGAAGTGAAGGACAATACTCTATTGCCATTTTTTAAGGAAAGAGTCAACTGATTGGCACTTAACTGCCAATTCTGTTAATTTTTAGACATAAAATAGGAGACGCAATACATGGTTCTCTGCCTCTGGCAGAAAAACAACAACACTGACCCTGGTAGCAGCTGGACTCTTTAATGCTGTAGGGAAGGGATCCCAAGACATACCGTACATTAGACTCATGAAACAATCCCTGCATGTCCAAATTTGTCCTCCTCTCAACTATTAATATCTATGTTATATCAGTTTTTGGAAATTTGTCTTTATTTTCAAAAGTAACTTGGATTGAAGAGAAAGTAACTCTTATTCTGGGAACAAAGCTCCCACCATTAGCGTCACCATTTCTCTTAATTCTAGCCATAAAATTTTAATCAATAACAGCATATGAATATTCTAATAAAGCTTTTGGTTTCTTCTGGAAAATGTGGTGCGGTATTCCCTACCTCCACTTCTTAAGTATCGTATTTTCTGTGTATAAGACACCCCCATGTATAAGACCCCCCCTTTTCTAACCCAGAATTTCTTTCCTTGAAAGAAAGCAGAGGGGGAAGGCAGGGATCAAAGCGCTTTGATTCCTGATTTCCCCCTCCACTTTCTTGTGAGGAAAGTGCTTTCCCCCTCCACTTTCTTCACAAAAAGTGCAGGGGGAAAGCAGGAATCATCAAATCACTTTGATTCCTGCTTTCCCCCTCCATTTTCTTGCAAAGAAAATGCAGGGGTAAAGCAGGGATCAAAGTGCTTTGATCTCCCCCTTCTTCCATGTATAAGATGACCCTCAATTTTTAATCTAAATATTTTAGACAAAAGTATCATATATACGGAAAAATACAGTAACTTTTCTTTTAAACTGTTTCAATTTAATCATTCATTCCAAAGGCATCATGGGCACCACACAATGGTACACAAGTAAACGGAACAATCTGGTCCTCTGCTTCTGCCTGCACAATGTCAACCTATGCTCCTGAGAACTTCCTATATATCCAAAACAGATCTTGGGTGGAAGGAAGATGATGCCATTGGCAAGATGCAATTCCACACTGGCAGATGGTTATAAGTAGGTGATGGCTGATGTTAGAACTGGGGATCCTTTTTAAAGAAAGAGAATAAACGGATGCAGCAGATATGTCAGAACTATGTCATCTGGGGCCTTTGTGAAACTCTTTGACAATATCTGGTCACAGAAGAACTGCAATAGCTGACTTCTAAGATCCACATCCAAATTAACCACCAAGGACAAAGGTTCACAGTCACGGGTCCACAGATGATACTGGGCTATGGGTCACCAGAACCCTTTACTAGCTATGCTGACAGCTTCTGTGTGCTGAATTCTCGTAACATCTCAGGACACAAGTTTTGAAAATATATCTGTGAAGATTCTCAGTCATCCAGGTGAGGTTATCTGGAAGTTGAGTCATGGCTACTGGACTTCTTTCTTATTAGGCTGAAATATTCTGTTACTTATCCAAGTAGTTTCTTCAGTTTGAGGAACCCTTTACTAGCTATGCTGACAGCTTCTGTGTGCTGAATTCTCGTAACATCTCAGGACACAAGTTTTGAAAATATATCTGTGAAGATTCTCAGTCATCCAGGTGAGGTTATCTGGAAGTTGAGTCATGGCTACTGGACTTCTTTCTTATTAGGCTGAAATATTCTGTTACTTATCCAAGTAGTTTCTTCAGTCTGAGGGAGAATTGGTAGAAGATCCCTGATATATTGGTTTCACTGACCTCTGATCTGAACAGGCTCATTAGAAGGACAAAGCGGGTGAGTGAAAATCCCACTTCTGCAGATCTTCTCCACCCACTGTCATGGGTCCTTAATGGTCATTAACAGTGATCTTTCTGGTGTGTGTGGTCCTAACCTTCCTGGGGACAGATGAAAGGGCAGCATGATAAATAGACAGACTGTATCTAAGGCCTCTCCACAGACTGAAGAAGCTACTTGTATGATTAGCAAAATGTTTCAACCTAATAAAAAAGAAGTCCAGTTGCCATGACTCAACTTCCAGATAAGTTTTGGAACTACTCATCTAGAATATAAAAACAGAGATATCCACTGCTTTTCATATGAGTTAGTAAACATAGCAGCACAGAAATACATAGCATTCGTGGTGAAATGAAAGGCGTCTCTCAAGAGTTTACTGAAGCGGAGGAACAGCAAACAGTCCAATACCAGAAGAAAAATATATTTATTCAGTTCCCCTCCTAAGACAGAAATCTTCTTCTTCACACTTATTGTTTTGAAGCTATGAATCATTAGGGAAATTACTGCTGAGAGGTGGACAGTTGGAAGAAAGATAATCAGAAAGCTGAAACAGTGCTATTCACAAATGGAATTTTAGGCTAGCGCTGTATTCCCAACTATTCTATTTTAGTTGGCATACCTCCACAACGCAATGGTACCACTGACTGGGTGTGCGGATTTATTTGGGCAGCTAATTCAAGATATAGCTCAGTCTCTCAGCTATGCTGAAACTGAAGAGAGAGCCTTTTTTACATCGTGTCCATTATCAGTCCTGTTCTGGAGTCCATACTGGCTGGAGATTCTGGGGGTTGCAATCCAAGCAAGTCACATTTCTAAGCTCAGGTTCTGTTCACCACCAAAGGACTATATTAAAAAGGAAAGGAAAGGAAAAAAAGACTACAACAGCAGATGATTTGAAGTGCAAAAGGACAGCTCTGTTTTCTGAATGGAGAAGAGATGCTGGACAGAATAGTGGCTTTAGCTGCAATTAGCAGAGATGAGCTGGGTAGCTGGAAAGGAAAAGGAAAGCCCAGTAGAGAATACAGGCCAGGACCTTCTTACAGCGTGCAGGAGCAAAGCAGCTTTTCGTGATAATTTAACACCAATTTTAGATTTTTTACGTCTGAAGCTGGCAGATTTCAGGCTTGCAGAATCAACAATTTTTAACTAGAAATCCAAAACCCACTAACTATAGGTAATGGTAAAGGTTCCCCTTGACATTTAGTCCAGTCATGTCTGACTCTAGGTTGCGGTGCTCATCCCCGTCTCCAACCCACAGAGCCTGTGTTTTGTCTGAAGACAATCTCCCGTGGTCATGTGGCCAGCGTGACTAGACATGGAACGCCGTTACCTTCCCACCCAGGTGGTACCTATTTATCTACTTGCATTTTTACATACTTTCGAACTGCTAGGTTGGCAGGACCTGGGACAAGCGACAGGAGCTCACTCTGTCACGTGGATTCGATCTTGTGACGGCTGGTCTTCTGACCTTACAGCACAGAGACTTCTGCTGTTTAACCCGCAGCACCACCACGTATAGCTAAGCTAAAAGGATGCTAAGAATCAGAGAGAAAAAGAGGAACCAGAAGTGGTCACATGTCTCCACTGCCTCCTTCTGGAAGTGAAGGATAGTGTATATACTTCTAACCACCAACCAGAAAATCGGAGCGTTCCACACCCTATTTTAAATATAGGATTCCTGAATGCAGCTCACAATCCTCCTTCTACATGAAAATCTACCCTGCTTAACTGAGGTTTTTGTAATTTCAGCATTGTAATTTGTGGCTTAATCTATCAACCCTGAACCATCTCTAGAAGTGAAAATGACTAAACTGAGACTATCACACTTTGAAGATATCAAGACTCACTAGGAAGACAATAGGTTGGGAAAAGTTGAAGGCAACAAGAAAATAGGAAGGCTAAATATGAGATGGATTGACTCAAAGAAAGCCACAGCCTTGAGTCTACAAGACCAGAGTATGGCTGTTAATAATAGCATTTTTGCAGGAAGCAACATGACAACATATAAGAACAACTTAGAACACCAATCAATTGCTGCTGCTACTGTTAAACAATTAAGAATCAGAATTTCTTATCAATCTACCACAACATAACCTTACAGAGACTGGCAGATCCAGACCAACATTCTGCCTAGCACTAAATCTATATGTGTTTCCAGTGTTTATGGTCCAATTCAAAATACTTATGTGTCTCTTTAGAGCTCTAAAATGTCTGGGACCATCTTTAAAGAACCATCACTTATTCCACAAAACCACCCACACATGGCTGAAACTAGGATGGTCTTCATGATGTCCTGCTTTAGACAATGTGAAGTGGGTAAGTATGTGGCAGAGGACATTCTTGGTGAAATAAACTGGAGTCTGGTACATCTTGTTTCACAAACCCCATGTGACCCCCACCCTTGAAACTGGACTCTGTTCCAGTTCTGCTTTCACTGTGAAAATGATGGAAACATGTAAGTACAACATTAGCAAATGCTATAAGCAACAACACAACTGTAGGGCTGCTTACAAATTGCTATAATTTTGTTTTGTTTCCTTATGGTTTAATTAATTCTTAGACTTTCATTCCCTAAAAAAAGATTCAAAGTATCTTACAACTGAATTACAACAGTTAGAAATAAAAACAATGCAAACAATATGTATCATATAAAACCACAGACACACACGCAGACACACACACACACACATTTGTGGTTCTCAATCCCTTTAATAGATACAAATTTGTAAAGTACACAGTGCTTGTATAAAAGCAAGCTGTACTTCTATGTCAGCTCCACCCAGTGAAGCCTTCCAAGCATACAGCTGACAGACCATGACCAATGAAAACAACACATATAGATTACTTCAACTATGTCCAATAAAAACCACTGGCCCAGGCTAGCAAACGAAATGTATCCATTAAAAACCACAAAAATAAAGATAACAAAAGGTGACAAGTTAAAACCATGTGTGCAGTGTAATAAAAAAATTACAAATTTAACAAATGGAAAAACATATCTTCTAGATTGACAAAGAAAACAATTAAGCACTTTGCACCAGCCTCACTGTCAAAACTAACATAACTTGAAAATCATGGGTGCTAAGCAGTTGTGAAGGGCTCTGTTAACTGGAAAAAAATTGAGAGCAGATTAGTTGACTGCACCAGTGATTAAAACCATGGCTCCTAGGCCAAGGCCTTTTGTCAGTTGATCTGGCCCTGATCAAAATGGTTTTGACCTTCAGCATCACAAAAAATTAATCATACAGTGGTGCCCCGCATAGCGAGGTTAATCCGTTCCGGATTAACCTTCGCTATCTGAAATCTTCGCTAAGCGGGAAGTAAAAAGCCATTGGAACGCATTAAACTTCATTTAATGCGTTCCAAATCGGCCCTAAACTTCGCACTTAGAGAAGTTTCCTGGCCCCGGGCAGCCATTTTCGCGCCCTCGGCAAGCGAGGGGAGGGCACGAAAACGCCGTGCAGGGCCATTTCGGGTCATCCGCGCCCGTTCTGAAGCCGCAAAACAGCTGTTTTGCGGCTTCAAAACGGACCCGAAATGGCCCCGCGCGGTGTTTTCGCGCCCTCGGCAAGCGAGGGGAGGGCACGAAAACGCTGCGCGGGGCCATTTCGGGTTGTCCGCGGTCGTTTTGAAGCCGCAAAACAGCTGTTTTGCGGCTTCAAAACGGACCCAAAATGGCCCCGCGCCGCGACTGCAACGCCCAGAAGCCTTCACCACCAACTGTGCTGGCTGGGGTTTCTGGGAGTTGCAATTAAAAACATCCAAGTAACAAAGGTTAAGAACCACTGTTCTAATGTTTCTCAATGAGACCCCGTTAAGATCCAAAACTCAGTTTTATGAACTATACATCTAGGACAGACACAGGGAAGAATGACAACAGAGGAGGAAAGAGGTAAAGGAGTGGATCAGAATGTCAAAGCAGGAGAGCTGAAGAAGAAAAACATGAGAGAAGAGAAAGGATAGCACAGGGCATAGGTTCTCAACCTGGGTAATCCAAGTGTTCTTGAACTGCAACTCCCAGAAACCCTAGCCAGCATAGCTAGTGATGGCTTCTGGGAGTTGTAGTCAGAGAACACTTGAGTCACCCATGGTTGGGAATTACTATCACATGAGAACACGAAGGTTAACAAAGTGGGAAAAGAGAGGGTGTGGAACTGAGGTCTGAAAAAATTTCAGAAGCAAAACCTAGTTTCACACTGACCCCAATGGAAAAGGATGATTGATCTTACAAAAGTACAACCACAACCAGCCCAAATTTGAACATAAGACAGAAAGTAATCCATGTGCTGTTACTTGAGTGAGCATTCATCTACAACAGGCTCATTACCAGATTTATGTACAGTAGTTTGCCCCAACCTAATACCCACCAGATGTGATGAACCATGATGGTAAAGGATGATGTGAGCACATCTGGGGGATATGAGGTGGAAGACGATAACTCCAGAGTAGCCCTATGGACTGCATCAAGTCCCTGAATTACAAAACATATTTTTGCACTATATTTAAAATATTTTTATCCCTAATGTTAACACATCAGTGCAATACTCTAGACAAGAATATTATCAATTCACATAAGAATACAGTTTAAAAATTATGGGTGTGCTATAAACAAACAGCTATCTATCAACAGCTATTTTTGCAGACAGATGAATTTATTTATATGATATTGCCCCCAGTAAGTTATAATGGTGCGACGGTAATTTTTTAAAATTTTATATAGCCCTTGAAGAAGGCTGATAGGCTGAAATGCATCTGGCATTTTATAATAGAAGGAAGAGTATTATAATTTCTACAAACCTGAGACTACACTTTCCCCTTTTTTGACCTAACATCACACTTTATGATTGCAGCAGGATTCTAGCCAGTATATTTAAGCAGATAAAAATCATCTTCCTTGGGGAATAGAGAACAGAAGCTGCATGTACTGTACCATGTGAACCTACAGTGCAATCCTATGAGTCCATTCAGAAGTAAGTCTCACTGAGGCCAATGGAATCCACTCCCAGATAGCATACAGGATTTCAGCCTTAATATAATGCTGAAGTTGCTCATGGGCCAGGCTATACAAAGCCCTTCTTTTACTACTTTATGGTACACAGTTTGTGAAATACATGACCAGACTGCAACAATCAAAACATTCTTTAGTGTCTGTTTAAAAATATTCTCCTACCTTGGCAATTATTTCAGAAATATTTTTAAGAGATTGCTTGATTGGATACTTCGCCATATCCCACTGGAACCTTGTTATGTAGGTGACCAAATCAACTGTGGACAAAAATATTAAATATTGGACTTGGTAACATAGGCTATGCTTGTTGCTATGCTATTTATTTTTACTGCAATGTTTTGAATAAAAGGCTCGAGAGATTTAATAAATGCATCACCTGTTAAAGACAAAGAAAATGATATATTTACACAGTTTGAAAACAAATATAATGGGACTATGTTTAAAAAGTATGATATTCAGGATTTTTCTCTTCACAATGGACTTTTGTGAACATGAAACTAGGAAGTGATAGAGAATAGGACTTCTATCACTGTGCAGAAGGGAAGTTTTGATTGTTACCTCTGTCATTGATAAGGCTGAAAAGACAGGAGACGTTGACTCAAACATTCAAAGGAGGCTCTGGGAGGATCAGTGCCTGGTCTATACCAGTCACCGTTACCAGCCCTCCCTAAAAGGACTGCGCCCTGGATCAGAACTCATACTTCATGCTTGTTTCTCCTGGCCTGGACTTTTTGAGACCCCCAGTGCAGGCAACTAGGGCCCTAGCTAGACAGACCGTGCTCCATTGGTTAGTGCTGGAAACTCAACCTCCGGGAGTGAAGAAGGGGCAGTAGGGACTGTCACTGTGCCTTTAATAAAAGCTGCCATGAGTGACCAAACCAGAAAGGAACTCACAGATTTTTTTGCTCGGGGGCTCCTCAGCTGCCAGATCTCAGGCAGTGGAGACCAGTGGGATTCGCCATTGGTTAGTGCTGGAAACTCAACCTCCTGGGAGTGAAGAAGGAGGGGCAGTAGGGACTGTCATTGTGCCTTTAATAAAAGCTGTCATGAGTGACCAAACCAGAATGGAACCCACCGAATTTCTTGCTGGGGGACTCCTCAGCTGCCAGACCACCGGGAGTGGAGGCCAGTGGAATTCACAGGTCATCATATCATAATGGACAATTCTTGGATGTAAGGATTAAGTGACCATGACATTAAAAAATTGGAAACAACTTTGAAACAGATTAATACTGTTGACCTGCCATGATAAGCATGTGTGTGGTCTATTCTACCTAAGAAAATAAATGTTTTAGTGTTATATTTGTTTTATTAAGTTTATTAGCGCTTGGAAATTCATACCATCACTTGTGATGCAAAAGTAATTTATAAGAGACATTTGAAAGCATTTTCTATATTTATTCTCAAAATCTCAACATCAAAAGACATTTTATATATGAATTCAATGTTTACCTCCATTGGCCAGAAGATTTTCCTGAACTTTATCTCTGCTGTCTTCCAGCACATCAGCCATATACTGTGCCACTTTCTTGACAACACTGGAGAAAGTTAAGATGAAGAAAGCAAATCCCATTTATTCTTCTTTCTCTAGATTAAATGCATCAGTTGCTCAGAGGGCTATACTCAAAAGAATCACAACCTGCATGATAGCAATTTGAACTGTATCAGGCTGATAACCTGCTGTTTTCTTACGTTCACTGTATCTAAATTGTCATGCATTAAATCAAATTTGCTTCATTAAGATTCACTCTTTGTCCATGAAAATATTCTGGATATTCTTCTCCATCTCAATTCAATCCATTGAAGCCATCCTTTCACTTCTTTCACAAAAACTCTAAATCTCTGTTTGATATCACATGGTATGGTATATGTTAGAAACCTTTCCACTAGACAATTTACTTTATTCGTTTATTTTTATTTATTCAATTTCTATCTCAAGACATTACCAGGTAGCTTACAAATCACATTATTAAAAGCAATCAAACATTTCAATAATTAAAAGGCATGAAATAAAACCCCATTAAAACAATTAAAAAAAAACACTTTTAAGAAGACAAAAGAACAATTCTCCTCTTAAAATCTATTACAAACCTGCCTGAAAAGAAAAGTCTAAGCTTCCCAGTAAAAGAACAGCAGGAGGAGGGGGGGAGCCTGGTCTCCCACAGAAGAGAGTTCAATCATCTGGGAGCAGCCACCAAAAAGGCCCTGTATCCAGATGAAGTGTGCCTATGAGGGTGGTGTGAATGACACAAGCAAAATATAGGTATTTTAAAATTTAGATTGTATCCCTGAATTAGGAAAACTTCAAATATTTCAAACTAATTCTGTAGTTCAGTTTACAGGAAACTGTCCTCACTTTTGATTTACATGTAAATCCAATTAAGCTTGTGCTCCCTTTCTCTCCAAACTATCATAAGAAGCCAAGTTGTTTCCCAGTTTCAGTTTGTAGGGTATGTATGTATGTATGTATGTATGTATGTATGTATGTATGTATGTATGTATCTATCTATCTATCTATCTATCTATCTATCTATCTATCTATCTATCTATCTATCTATCTATCTATCTGGCTTTTATACCGTGCATCTAGAAAAATCTACTCTGGGTGGTTTACAGTCCAAAAAAGCAATAAAATTTTAAAAATCACTAAAAAACTAGAACAAGCAAACATTATCCAAGATGGGCACATGCATCATAGACAAGTTTGGATGTAATGGTCTGAACCAGGAGAGGAAGACAACAGCATTGATTCCTTAACCCCTAATCTTTGGACTAGAGCATGAAAAGAGTGATGTCTGGCCTGAGTAAATCTCATTAAGATGGTTAACCAGCAACTATATACAATTAGCAAGTAACACTTACACAGTAGCTTGTATACTGTGGACATATGGCCACAAAATGAATACAGATGAAAAGTAATACAAAACAGAAGTTACCCTTCCACAAATGCATCCAGTTTAGCCAACTCATCAGACAAACCAACTAAAACATCAAGGGTGCCAACCTAAAGAGGATAAAATTACAAAAAGCATTAATACTTTAAAAAAGACTTACTAGGCTAAGATCACAATCTTATCCATTTCCAATTACTGCTGAATTCCACATCTAGTGCAATGGATTCACTTCCAAGTAAACGGAAGCCAAAGTGTATCCTTTTTGTAAAGATATTTAATACCCAACATTCGAATTCAATGTAAAGGTCCTCATTTTCCACATCATCTATTAGCAATTCTAAGCCTGATCGACTTCACAGGGTTACTGTGATGATAAAGTGGGGGAAAAGGGACCCATGCATGGGCTACCTTGAGCTCACCGGAAGAAAGGCAGGAGATGAATGCAACTACTACTATCATCTTTCCTTGAAAATCAGACAGGGTCTTAAATTAATTTTATCTCCAAAAAACACAGTAGGGCTTAATTTCAGGGGATGTTTTTTTCCATGTACAACAATCTACATTTATTCAAATAAAGTCATGTCATCTTGTGGTTGCTGCACAATGGCGGAGGGCGGGCTTTCATAAGTTAGGTCTTATTTTCGGGGAAACAGGGTAATGGCTCCACATAGTTAGAGACTAGACAATTCACTACAAATCCACATAAAAAGAGGCAGAGGCCAGCAGCATAGCATTAGCTTTGTGCCCAAAAGGTCAGTAGCTCAATGGACCTTGAGACCTGCAGCCTGTCAATGTCAATAAAGCTATCATAAAGAGATAAATCATTCAACCTTGTTTAAGACAACTTTCTATTGAGCATGTTGCTTTCCAAGGCAGGAACTAAAGATTCATTTTTATTTTAATATGTGATCATAAGTTAGACTGTCACCAGGTGGAAATACAGTGTGCATGCAGTCAAATAGACCATAAAAGTGGACTTTCTAACCTTGTCAAGAGGTTATCTATAAATAAACACCTAAGACTTTATCCAGAGAGACAAACCAGATCTCTTAATATGAATTTTACAACAAATAAAATAAAGTGACCCTTCAATGAATGGGATTATCTCTGCTATGGAAAAGAGATGTTTACACACTACATATTCACAAGGTAAGCCATTTAGTTTTTGCCTTCAGTGTACACATTCATAATACTAGCTTTATTCCTTTTTAAAGGACAATGAACATGCCTAGTTTCTACCCACTACCTAAGTCCCCCATGTTTAAAGAGCAAAACAACACTGGAATAGCAAAAACAGACATTTTGCATGAATTAAAAGCTCTAAGGTACCTTTAAATCTGGAATATTAAATTTGGCATTGCTAGAGAGATTGTTATTTTTCATAGTTGCAGCACACAACTTCTCCCATGTCTGCTGACATGTTTTCTCCCCAGGAGCAGAAATCAGCCAGAATTCTGTCATTTTTGTCGCTTTACTATGATGCTGATGATTTGGGAGGACAGCGATGAAATACTGAAAATAAAAAGAGAAAAATTTTCAGAAAAGCAAGAATAATTCAAAATACATTATTTAAATTACTTATTGTGGCTTTATATGGCAAATATTCTGAAAGGAAATAATGTAATTTCTTGCATTTGTAGCAATTCCTTCACCATGAAATTTGTATAGATGACAAGCAGAAACCTATTTGAATTATAGACACCAGCTTCATCATAACTTACTTACTTTCCCCTACCCAAGCAGTACGTCTTCTTTGTCAATACATGGGGTACCCGTCATGCCAACAAGAAGTGAACTGCAGAAGAGTGTTCTAAGAGTACAAAATTAAACTGGGTAATTATTTTTCCTTTATTAAAAAATGCCATTGTGTAAAAAAAAAGGACAGGGACCTACAACCTTTAAGCAGTTCCAGGATTCCTCAAAAAGAAGTCATAAATGTCTCTTTGAAATGTTTGGGTGCAAATTAAGTCAATTTACAGTGCAGCTCTTGCTGTCTTCATTATGAGGTTTAAGAACTATAAAGCAGTATGCATAAATTATAGGATGTTTGGGAGCTGGAATGAGTCCTCACTTAGATCCTGGGCTGACTTGGTGTCACTATTAACCCTATTCCATTTATTAAGATTTTATGTTGGAGACGAGTCAGTTCTGCAGTACAGTTCAGAGGTCTTGTTCCAATTAACCAAGCAACAGTTTTGAAATCTAATTAACACTCCTACTCAGATATTATTGAAAGCTACACTTAAGAACAAAAAACTAAACAGGAAATCGGAGCATATGGGATGTGGGGGGAGAACATGAAGCAAATGAACCAGCAGCATGGAAGAAAGGACCACAAACGTACATGCAGCACACTCCTTCTCTTCCAAATCAGAGTGCAACTAAACTATTCTCTCCTAGCCCTATCTAAGAACGCTCCAACAGCTTGTTGCTTTATTTTAGGCACCTGAAGACCACTTTCTCATGCGTGAAATCTCCTGAATAGAAATTACAGCGTACAGAAAATAATGCTGTACAATCCATGGGTTGTCACTTATAAGATCCAAGTGGGCAGAGCATTAGCCAAAATGTTCTGAGACACTGTAGCACCAAACTAATTCCACAGTAAACACAAAGACACATGCCAATTTTCATCCACATTTCTTGCCAAACTCCCTTCACTTCTTACTGACATTATGCAATGGGTGAAACACTACCTGCAGAGAAGAGTGGTTGTCAAACAATTTCCCAGAAGCCTTCACCACTTGCTGTGCTGGCCAGGATTTCTGGGAGTTGCAGTCCAAGAACATCTGGGGACCCCCAGTTTGAGAACCACTGGTCTTGACGACGACAACGGTGGAGAACCTCTGGCCATCCAGACGTTTAGGCCTGCAACTCCCAGGAGCCCCACACGGCAAGACTAGGGATGATGGGAGTTGCAGTCCAAAACCTCCAAGCGTTTCACAACTCCAGACTAAAAAGATTCGTGGTTTCTCCTCTTCCCCATACCGCCCCACCCCGCCCAACACACACACAGAGCAAACGAGATCTATCCTTGGGACGCTGGATGACCTACTGCAATGCAAACATCAGGATAAGGTCAGGCTTGAGACAGAAAACCCCCGGGACCACCACGCGAAAAGCTGGCGGTAGCTTTCTCCGGCCCGGGCGTTGGGGAGAGGAGGGTAATCGCTGACTTCCCCATTCAGAGAGTCACCAAGGATTATGGCGCTCTCTTTTTTTTAGTTCGGCGAAGAAAGACCCACACACACACACACACCGCGGCCCTCCCTCAAGCAAGCGGCCCCCTTCACACGAACCGCGGAAGTTAATCACGTGAATTCGCCTGCCTACCTCCCGGCGCGCAGGTTGCCAAGAGCCCTTGGCCAGCCGGGCCCAAGAAGATGAAGGGGATCCAAGGGAAGGAGGAAGGGGAAGGAGACCGGCAGGCTCTGCGGAATTGGAAAACACACGTGACAAGCATCACGGGGACGGGCGAGGAGGAGCCGCGCAGGCGGAAGGGAACGGGGCGCTCACGTGACAGAATGCGGGCAGGATTCCGACCCGCGAGGGCTGGGCGGGCGAGTACTTTGGGGGCCCAGGATAGTGGACGGAATCCGTCCCTTCCCGCCCGCTGCCACCTGGACTCCATTCAGAACGTGGGTTAGTCGGCCCGCCTTTTTTTGTGTGTGTGGTTACTCTGAAATTAGGAGGTCCAGGTTCAAGCTGTCACTCGGCTGTGGAACTCATTGGACGTTGTTGTTTGTTGCCATTAATGTTACGCGCCTTCAAGTCGCCTCCGACTTATGGAGACCCTATGAAGCAGAGATCTCCCGAGTTTTCTGGTCTCAACAGTCCAGCTCTTGCAAACTCAAAACTGTGCTTCCTTAAGGAAGTCAATCTGTCTCTTGTTTCGTCTTCCTCTTTTCCTGCTGCCTTCCCCCGATTTTCACTCTTTCTTCATCTGGATCTAATCCTGCTTTCCATATTATCTGTTCTGCCTACAGATTGAACAGAAAAGGAGATAAAACGCACCGTTGTCTGGCACTTTTGCCTATAGGAAGCCATGCTGTCTTTCCATATTATGTCCTCACAATAGCTTCTTGTCCACAATAAAAGTTGCAGGACAATCAAGTCATGAGGCACATCAGTTTCTTTCAGAAGAACCCATCGTTTTTAACAATCTATACTGTCAAAAGCTTTGCTGTAGTCGAGAAAGTATAGACTGGTCTTCTGAAATGCTTTGGTGCACTCCAGTAGCCAGTGGATATTTCCAATGTGATCTCAAGTGCCTCTTTCTAATTTGGAATGCAGCTTGGAAATCGCATTTCTTGCTCCATATAAAATAAAAGCCTTGAACATTGCTTTGTTTGCATGGGAAGTTGGAGCAATGGTCCTATAGTTACTGCACTCTTCAAATTTCCTTTCTTGGGAATCGGAATGTATATAAAATGTTTCCAGTCTGTCAGCCATGGTTTTTGTTTTCCATATTTGTTGGCATATTCTTGTTAGGATTTTGACAGATATAACATTGTGTCTTCAATTAGTTCTATTGGTATCCCATCTACCTCTGCTGGTTTATTTCTTCCTAGTGCTTTCAGAGCAGCTTTCACTTCACTTTCTAGAATTGCAGGTTCTTCACTATATGGTTTCTCTTCAAAGGAGCCTGTCATCCTTTTATCTTTTCTGTATAGGTCTTCAATATACTGTTTTCATCTTCTCTTTCTTTTCTCTTTGTCACACAGTATGTGTGTTTCCCTGTTGATCTTTCAGTATTCCTAATCTAGGCTTAAATTTCCCTTGAAGAGATTTCTTGTTTTTCCTCTTTTGTTGCTGTTTCTTTCCACTGTAGTTATCTATGACTCTACTGGATAACCTTGGGTTAAGTCACTACCTGTCAGCCTGACCTGTTTTACAGGAGTTGTGAGGATAATAGAGGTTGAGGAAAGACGTTTGAGCTCATTAGAGCAATAAAAAAATAATTGAATTAAGTAATAATTAAATATGAAGAATTAATGCAGAGAAGTTTAGTGGCAATAACACGTCAGCCATTTGAGGCTAGAGGAGCATAGTGCCACTGCGCATGAGAGTTAATTCATCTTTTTAATATAGCCTAGGTAGACTGTGTCTGTTTTAATGGGCACAGTCAACATTTTTAGCATCTTGAGCGTGTAACTATTGGCATTTTCAGTCAAAGAGTCTCAGTCTTTGTTATATTTTATAGGACTTATTATAATGTCTTATCAAATGACTTCACAGTTATGGTGACTCTGTGAATTACTAACCTCCAACAGGTTCTTCATTAACGGCCCATCTCAGCCTAAAGGCTGTGGTTTCATTTGTTGAATCTGTCTATCTAATGTTCAGTCTTCCTCTTTTCCTACTTTTTCTAGCATTATTGTCTTTCTAGCAAGTCTTAAAATACAATTGCCTGTTTACTCATGTTATCTTCCACAGAGAGTTCAAGCTTTATTTGATTGGCAACACATTTTTCAGGCTGTAGTTTGCATATTATTACAGATTCTGTGTAATTGTTCAATGGAATTATTTGAATATATGTTTCCTATTTGTATTTTCTAACATTTTAATAAAGCAGTGTTCTCAGCAACTACCTGCTTATTATGCAGATCAGAACCGGTGTTTTATAGGAAAATTATATCCAATAGACATAGGCAGCACACATTCCATGAAGGTCATCTGGAGGGAACATTTATTCACTTATATATATCCAACTGTTGATTATTAATACTGGGGAGTGGGTTCTGCCAACTAGACAACACTTAAATTTGCATCACTAGTGACAAATGTAGTGACAAACTCCCTCTGGCTTCTTGTGGTTTTTTTTAAACTGCTTCCTATAGATGTTGTTTCAAAAAAAAGGCACAATGGGAGCTTTGTGGTCCTTACCATTGGACGGGTGGAAAATTTCAACCACACATTACCAGGAATTAAGCCCCCGGAAGATCATAAGTCTCCTCCCCCAAAATCTTGAGATTTGGACTTGAAATTTAGGGAACAGGATGTTACTGACCTGGCAGCTCTCGTGGGTTTAAGTTTTCAAATCATGGCACGGTGGTATGTTGGTGAGGTTTGTTGTCAGGGAAAAGTGATACCATGCAAAGACATTCAAGGGAAGTCAAGAAATTATTCCCTGCATTTACTGTGTCATTTGGCAAGTGAAGCGAAGAAATGAAGTGCAGATGGAAGAAAGCTACTGAGGTGGAGAGTTTCCAAAGGACAAGAAGCAAGGCTCAGAGCAGCTTAGTCTTTGCTGCTGAGCATCAGAACTTTAGGGGGGGCACGAAGATCTGGAGGTGAATCTAGTAGTGGGTGTTAGGGAAAAAAATAGCAACACTTCATGACCTTATTTACTTTCCTTTTTCTGAAAATGTAAACATTTTTCTTTTGCAGGGACACTACGTTCTTTCCATGCCTCATCCCAGAGTGACTGGGAATCAATATTGCTTGTCTGGATGCAAAATTGCTACCCTGTTTCCCTGAAAATAAAACCTAACCTGATAATAAGCCCTAGTATGTTTTTTTCCAGGATGCTCCTACTATAAGCCCTACCCCAAAAATAAGCCCTAGTTAAGTGAAAGCCCCCCTCCACATAAACCAGAAGATGACATGACTGTATTTGAATAAACGTAGGTTGTACATGGAAAAAAATAAAGCATCCCCTGAAAATGAGCCGTAATGTGTTTTTTGGAGCAACAATTAATATGACCCTGTCTTATTTGGGGGGAAACATGATATTTACTGCTCTAAGAAGTCTTGAATTGTATATAGTAGAATTGCTTCTGGATAATCCTGCATACTGTTAGGCTGCTAAATTGTATAACAACAGCAACAATTGCATTTCTTGGAGGCCTAAGTGGTCTGTTTGTGTAACACGTGTGCACTGGGCACTAGTATGTTCACTCTACAAAGCCTTGTGGCCACAAGACTGAATGGTGTTCTCTTAGATTCCATCGAAGAACCTGCTTGTGTTAGGTGTCACATTTTAGTGTTCATGCACATTTGTCCTTAAAAAGCCCTAGCAGTATTTTCTTGGGCAGAAAAATAAAATTCTCTATCCACTCTTGGACAACATCAACTTTAATGATAATGAACATTTCTGAAGACATTTAGCATAGAAGGTTTATTAACGCACATGTGCATGCTGAGCATTAGATGATGTTTCGAATTAGATTTCTTGAAGACTTGTACTGTCATAAGACTTCCTTCCAGCAGAGAGCAGCATCAGCTTTTCTTTCATCTCCTGACTTCCTGCTCTCACATAGACCTCACCGCCCAACACTTAACCATCCTATCTCCCACAGAAACACACCATCCTTAAATTACCTATTATGAAATACAGTACCTGTTTCAGGTCTAAAAAGGCACAATCTGAAGGGCACTTACTTAAAGGGATCTTAAATAATCAAGAATTACAGAGCTGAAATGGGTGCTAAATTTATTGGGCATTAGAAGCACTTGCATTTCATAGATTCCTGAAAGATCGTTTAAAATAACTACCAAGGGTCCTGCTACATCTTTAAGACTAATCCGTTTTATTTGTCATAGCTTTTCCTGGACTGCAGCTCACTTCTTCAGGTGCTTGGATTGTAGCCTTAGTAGACAGGCATTTATACGGTGTTGGGGAAGGTAGAAGAGGCCCTTAAAAGTTTGGGACTTTGTTACTTGTCACAGTGCTTCTCCCTAAGATTGTTCACCCATCCCAACCAATCCTCCCAAGCTTTGATGCTGGAGGTGGCCAACCGATGGAGGCCCAGAAATTTATGACTAGGATTCAGTGGTGGCTGCCGCACTATGGAATGCCCTACCAGTGAAGGTAGCCCCCTTTCCTCCTAGCATTTTGGAAGTCAATAAAAGCATCTTTGCAGATAAGCCTTCCAAGATATCCTCCACTCATGAAAACTTACATCTATCTTATTTTTAACTTTATTTTTTTCCACTGTTACTCTGAGGGTTCATTTGGTTTGTTTAAATTACAGTATATGTTTAATGAGTGGGGTGGGCATGCTTTTATGTATATAAACTATCCAGAGCAGTGGCTTGCTACTAGATGAGCAGTATTTAAAAATCCAATAAATAAATAAAATGGAAGTGTTGGGAGCAGACCAAAATCAAGTCTTGGAGCTGTCAAAACTGCCAAGTCTCCTTCCACTGTCAATTTACAGTATCATGAAGTGGATTAATAAGCAAGCCACTTCAAGATGTCAGCAAATTTAACACTTCCCCTGCTCCTCTGCAGACGGGCAGGAGAAATTAATTTTTATTTTTGCATTAGCTCAGCCATCACTGATAGCTAAATCACTTAGATTAAAAATTCTTAATTCCCTTTGTGTATAGTACTAATCGAAACTGCAGCTGCAGGCAGTTTCTCAACTGGCTCTATGAACAAAGTAAATAAGATTTTTTTAAAAATGTAAATTGTGATTCAGTGCATCAGTGATGATCTAGCAGAGGCCAAAGAATATTTTCACTTCCCCTGTCCCTCCA